CTGAGAGGAGTCATAAATAAAGTGATGTCAGAAGAGGAGGCAAGGGCTTTTATAAGGTACAAAACAAGAGCCAAACCCCTCAGCAGCTATAAATAGGCCACATCAGCACTATAAGCGTGAGGGGAACAGAAGCAATGTGTCATGCAGCATGTATAAGCTCTCTTAAAGTGGTGCAGTTGTGTCCTCACACTGAATGATGCTCAACAAACATTGATCAACTGCTTCTCCTTCCTAAAAAACTCCATTACTGAATCTGTGCTTCAGAGCCATCCTCTTTTATCAGTTTAAGTACCATAGCTCCTGAGTCTATTTCTCCTTACCTGCTTCTCAAGCAATACTACATCCATCATCCACAAAATTACAATGAGTTCATAAGTAAAAGCTACTTATCTGTGGAGCAGTTTGCTCTTGTGGAGCAGTGGACCGAGCATCCTGAAGGGTAATCTGTATTCTGAAAGGCTGGGTGGTATTTTCCCAGACATGTTTGAGAATGGCTGTTTTGTCTTTGCTGCACAACATCATTTCAGCTGTCTGGTTCAAAATCAGCAGCACTTCACCTTTAACCCTGACACACTCCAGACTCAGATTTCTGCTAGTGGAATAGTCTCATGATTATTGACTATGACTGTAAAGTCTGGTTTAGGCATGTGCAAAACTATACATTCAAAATCAATCAGTGTGGTGGGTTTACTGAAAGACAGACTTAACGAAGCCCCATACATTAATTAGGCTGCTTTTGGCTTCTCCTAAACAAGTCTGGGGGCGTTTATATGACATATTTTTGTGTTCAAAGACAACTAGATTGAAAGCAATACAATGGAACAGAATGCAAAGATTTTAAGGTGTGTTTTTTAAACTATTTTTAACCTGACACATGGCATTTTTAACCTGTGCGTCATGAGAATGCAACACTCGTGACAAGGCACTCAAAAAATGATGCACGCTGCAACGCGATAGCAAAGGAAAAGTGCCTTACAAGAAGAGAAGATTTTAAAAAACTACCTAAAATACACGTTTATATATAAAACTACTCCACTAGTTAGAAACTGTATCTTATTTTTATCAAATTCAACCCAAATTCAATTTTGTGTATTTGGTGTAATGAAATGTGTTTATGCGGTTTAAGGTAAAAAAAAAAAAAACACATTATTTTCCACATACTCTACATTATTGTTTCTCCTCTATGCCCTGCCTTTCTGAAACGCGTCGATTTTTACAAAGCTCATCGGTCTGAAAAGCGAGGTGTGCTGTGATTGGCCAGCTATTCAGTGCGTTGTGATTGGCCGAATACCTCAAGCGTTTGATGGAAAAGTTACGTCCCTTACCATACTGTGATGCCGTGTCCCGGCCGGAGCGACAAGACAAAAACATTAAAACCCATTATAAACGAGGCATTTGTTGCATCCAGTGGGGACATAATTACGGATTATAATGACTTATATACTGTCTTTTTACGCGTTGCATCGCGCCACGTAAACATAAAACCATGTCTGCATTTGTGATCGGAGAAATGACAAACAACCTGCGCTACCCTACACTGCTCAAAACTCACGTTTGAATCATCAGTGGCAAATCCTTTAAATATAAAAAAACGTACTTACAGTATGTGAGTCAGAACAGCCGGCATTGTAATCTACTCTACCAGGATCAGGAAACAGTCCTCCATAAAATGCACTGCACACATCTGAATATTTGGGTTGAAGTGTTCTGGAACAGTGTTGTAAATACAACTTAACCACTGATTTCTAGTCGTGTCCTCCTTTGGAAGGCCAAACAAAGTAGTTTAGCTTTCACAACGAAACACAGCGTCACACACAGTGGCCTCTTGAGTGAGCGGAGGCCCGTGGCTAGAGTGAGTGGTGGCGGGCTTGAGTGAGCGGAGGCCGGCGATTTAGAGTGAGCGGCTGCGGGCGGGCTTGAGAACGGCACGGCCGGCGG